GACTAGGCCCGAAACGTCAGCTTTCCTGCTCTTTTGATGCTGTTTGGCCTGCTGTGTCCATCCAGCTCTACACCTTGTCATCGCTTGCATTCAGAAGAGGTGGTTTTAATTTTTTTTTTGTTTATATTAGCATTTTAGGGTTTCTTATAAAGTGACCAGCTAAAATAATTGAAGCCTTGTGGTTAATCCACATGGTTCAAATGCTTAAAGATTCCTGGTATGTCCTTCAGCATTTTGCAAGACATTATTCTACAGCAAATAAAAACCAAAACAAAACTGCAGATGCTGTAAATCAGAAACAAAAACATAATTCGCTGGAACAGCTCAGCAGGTCTGAGGAAGGGTCACCGGATCCGAAATGTTAATTCTGATTTCGCTGCACAAATGCTGCCACTGGACCCGAAATGTTAACTCTGATGGCTCTGCACAGATGCTGCCAGACCTGCTGAGCTTTTCCAGCCACTTCTGTTTTTGTTTCGTATTCTATAGCAGCTGTTGTACGTATTTCCGTGATTTGCTGAGAATTTCAGATAGAGAGATTACCAACCAGTTGCAGGATTTTAAATATATTCAAGCAAGCTACCTCTGCGTCAAAGGTATTTTTGTATAATTAACAGCATATATATTACAAACAACGATCATGAGATACATTTTCATGAAACATAAGGCAGAGTCCAAACAAATCAGATTAATTTTCAAAGTCATATCACACAGGAGGAGCCTTGTGTCTGTGCCAATGCTCTGAAGACACTATTCGATTAGTTTTAAACTCCAATACATTAGTTCTTTTTTATTTGTCTTTTCCGATTTGAGACAAATCACTGAAATAAATTACTTGCTCTGAATCAAGTGGAAACCAAAAATCAAATCCTCAGAACAACGGGAGTTGTAGGTCACGTGCTTCATAGCTTGTGTTTTTGGAAAGAAAGGATTGCAATTCAAATGACAGAATAATAATGTTTAGTAAAGAGTAATAAAAACACTCAAATTATGTTTACTTGAACTGTGAAAGACATCCAGCAGTGCAATGATAGGTTCAGTTGTTCTGAACTTGGATCACTTCTCCAAAATGTACTTTAGCTGTATAACACAAGGGTGAAGTTCTGGGTGTTGCTGGCTTTTCAGGGGCGATGGCAGAGCTGGGAGCAATTTGAGGTGAAAGAGAATATCATGTATTTTGCACTGCAAAGATTATTTTATCCCCATAGCTTACTGCTACCAACACTCAAGACATAACAACAATGCATCAACATATTTAAAATAGAAATCTTAATAGCTGCAAAGTTCAAATTACTGCTTAGCACTTGAATCAGAAGAAAAAAGGTTCAAGTCCCACCCCATGATTATGTAATTTGGCTTCACACTCCAGTGCTGTGCTTAGGAGGTTCTGTACTGTCACAGATGTTGCTTTTAAAAATTGGACTTTACACCAAGGTACTTTCTGCTGTCTCAGGGAGATGGAAAAGATCCTAGCTCATTACCTCAAAGAAGAGCTGGGGGTTCTCTCCATTGCCTTGGCCAATACATATTCTTCAATCAAATCAGTAAAACAGATTATCTAATTATTACCTCTTCAGCGTTCAAAATTGCTTGACACGTTTCCTGCGTAACATGAAGTTTATTTCACTGACTAAACAGTGCCGTGGATAACCTGGGGTTTTAAAAGATTCTACATAAACTTGTTTCCCTTTCTCTATATACGATGGGAACACTGGGAGCAAAGAATATCACAGTCCAGATCATCACTTTTCAATCACCCACTCCCTGAATTATCTATGTAATTTCTTTCCCTTCTCACACCAGCTGCCTCCATGACCTCCCAGTGTAGTCCATTCTACGTGTTTAATATCCTTTACATAATTAAGTTTAAGCTATTGTGGAAAATGCCACTCTCGAAGACTGTCCAAACAATCAGCATAAATTAGCTTGCTTCACCTTTGCACACCTTTCCTGTGTGCAAACTATGTTTCCAACATTACAACAATGATGACATCATCATAGAGAGACGTCCAAAATACTTCATTGCTTTGGGATGTTCTTTTTTTTTTCCCTTACAAAATCAAAACTTTCACATGTCTCAGGTGCCCGGAAATGACCATCTCCAACAAGAGAGAATTTAACTATGGTCTTACCATTGCTGAATCTCCAACATGAGCACCACTTATAGTGCAGGATATTTATTACTAAGGACAGCCGAATTTTAAATATTATATAAAAATCCCAAGTAATGTCACAGCACAAACACAATTGCAGATCTGGACCTTTGTTTTTATTTCAATGGCTATTATTTCACGAAGTAATCTTTCTGAAAATCCCTAAAACAGTGACCCTTAAAGCTCCTTAAACCAGAAAAGTAAAACTTGGGTGAGTTTTACAGCAGATCATTTAAGGTTACTTTCCTTTCCACCTCACCTGTATCAAATTCGTACAGCAGTAATGTCATTCACAGTAGGTGGTCTCAATGTTCCTGTGATAGAGGTCAGCACTGCAATTCTCCTGGTATCTTCTCTCCAGTCAGATCTATGATAAGTTTCCAGCATCTGGCTTATGAGCAGATGTA